GGGGGGCGCTGCGCCCCCCCCCCAACCCCCCCCGCGCCACGAAATCTGCACTTCATCCCCGACACCCGCGCCTGCCACGAAATCAATATTTTAAGGTGAACTCCCCGGTGCAAAACTTTTTAACCAAGCAAATATGCCTCCTCTATCTATCTATCTAATCTAATTTGACCTAATCTAATCTAATCTATGTATCTATCTATCAATTTATCTTTCTATCTTTCTATCTTTCTGCAGTTCGACATCCACAAAGTACTGCACCTGCCACGAAATCTGCACTTCAAGGTCCACAAAGTCTTGCGCCTGCCACGAAATCTGCACTCCAAGGCCCACAAAGTCCTGCACCTGCCACCAACTCTACAATTCCACACGCACAAAGTCCTGCATCTGCCACGAAATCTGCACTTCAAGGTCCACAAAGTCCTGCGCCTGCCACAAAATCTGCACTCCAAGGGCCACAAAGTCCTTCATCTGCCACGAAATCTGCACTTCAAGGCCCACAAAAAGTCCTGCGCCTGCCACAAACTCTGCACTCCAAGGCCCACAAAGTCCTGTACCTGCCACGAAATGTGCTTTGCAGGCTCCATCATTAAGGACTAAGTGACTAAGTAGCCTATACTAGCATTATCGGTCACACATACCACATACCAACCACTCGCACCAATCACGCGTTCCAGCTGCCAGACCCTCGCACCAACTATACATATCACGCACCAACACCTCGTACCAACCATATGTACCACATATCAACCCCTCGTACCCTGTACCAACCCCTCGCGCCAACCCCTCGTACCAACCATGCGTACCACGTACCAACTCCTCGTACCACGTACCAACCCCTCGTACCACGTACCAACCCCTCGTACCAGCCCCTCGTACCACGTACCAACCCCTCGTACCAACCCCTCGCGCCAACCGTCCGCACCAGACGTGGAGCGATCAACAAAAAGTGCTGTTACACCTACTTTGAACTAATATAAGGTAAAAGGATGATTCTCCCCCATTTGTGTTACTATGTTACCTTATGTTTTTATGTTGGTGTTCAATCTTTGTTCCTTGGCTTTGATGTTTTTCTAGCCCATTTTAAGTAGGCTTTTTATCAAAAAGTGTTCATCACATCCTCGTTCATTTTTTGTCTCATTTTTCTTCACTATGTTTGTCTCGTTGCTTTTGTTTTATTTTGGTTTCTTTCCTTTGGGGTGTTGCTTCGTTTTCTGGTTCATTTGTTGTAGTTATGCTATAGTTATAGGTTGTAAAATTTTAGAGAAGCTATGAAATAGCGAAGTAACAACTAAGCGTCTTTGGTGGTA